GGGTTGGGGCTGGGGGGTGTCAGGACCCGGGTCACTCACCGTCGTGTTGGACACAAAAGTTGAGCTCTGCAAGACGGAAGCACAGGGCTAGGTGACGTTTGCCCGAGATAGACCTTCCCACCCTCACCTCCCCTCCATCCACTCAGCTACAAGCACTCTGCCCACTGAGCTGCAAGTACTCTACCCACTGACCTACAAGCACTCTGCCCACTGGGCTACAAGCACCCACCGAGCCCCCTTCCCAACCTCTTCCACCTGTTCCCACAGATCCAGGCTTGTGTACGGCGTCGCCCCCAGACCCCGCCCCACTTCCGGGATAAGCCGGGTCCCCAGCCTCACCTGCCGGATCTCCAGGTGGTAAGTGAACGTCCGAGGGAAGAGGCTCCTCATGCTCCAGCGCATGAGCGCGTGGGTTCTGTTACACTGGGCCGTGATCTCGGGAGGACTCAGCACCTCTGGGACGCACAGCACTTTCTGTGAGCACTTTCAGAGTGTGTGCTCCTCCTCTTCCTCCACTTCCTCCTCCCCCTCCTCTTCCTCGTTCTCTTCCTCCGTCTCCACTTCCTGTTCCTCTTCTTCCCTGTCTAGTGCTCCCTCCGGTCCCGGGCGGCGCTCACCTACACTCTTCAGATGCACGGATCGGTCGCTGCAGGACACTGGTTCCTGCTGGCTGGATCCGTTCACCGTCACCATGAGCAGGTGGGAGACCAGGGAGACGTTGCTGACGTCACAGCGCACGTTGCGCCCCAGGGTGTCCTGGCCGTAGTGCAGACACTCCTGGTCCTGGTCCCTCCCGGAACTGATGGAGAGGACAGACGGAAGGGGTTCGAGGCCCCGCCCCGCCCCATCCCTCCTCACCCGATCCCCCCCATCCGGACCGACCCGGGTTCGACGACACCCCCTCCACCGTGCGCACCCCGCCTTCCTCCAGAACAGCCGGTACTGCACGTCGCCGGGGGCCGTGCGGCCGGGCTCCCAGGTGCAGGTCAGGGTGTCGGTGTGGTACACCCAGCACTGCAGGTTGGAGGCCGCAGCCCCGCGGTTGGGATCTGGACAGAGACCGGGGACAGGGAGAGACTGAGCTCAAGGCCAGGTGTGGTCAGAGCACAGTGACCGAAAGGGGCTCAGCCCAGACCAGACCAGACCAGGACAGACCAGCCCACACCAGACCAGGACAGACCAGACCAGACCAGACCAGATCAGACCAGACCAGCCCAGATCAGCCCAGACCAGACCAGACCAGGACAGACCAGACCAGACCAGACCAGATCAGACCAGCCCATCCCAGACCAGGACAGACCAGACCAGACCAGATCAGACCAGCCCAGCCCAGATCAGACCAGACCAGACCAGACCAGGACAGACCAGCCTAGGACAGACCACACCAGCCCAACCAGCCCAGATCAGCCCAGGACAGACCAGCCCAATCCAGCCTAGACCAGACCAGACCAGGACAGGACAGGACAGACCAGACCAGGACAGCCCAGCCCAGGACAGACCAGACCAGACCAGCCCAGACCAGGACAGACCAGCCCAGGACAGACCTGCCCAGCCCAGACCATGACAGATCAGACCAGACCAGATCAGACCAACCCAGACCAGCCCAACCCAGACCAGGACAGCCCAGCCCAGGACAGACTAGACCAGACCAGACTAGACCAGTCCAGTGCAACCCAGACCACCCCAGCCCAACCCAGACCAGGACAGACCAGACCAGACCAGCCCAGCCCAGACCAGACCAGACCCAGCCCAGGACAGACCACACCAGACCAGCCCAGCCCAGGACAGACCACACCAGCCCAGACCAGGACAGACCACACCAGACCAGACCAGACCAGACCAGGACAGACCAGCCCAATCCAGCCTAGACCAGACCAGACCAGGACAGACTATCACAGATCAGACCAGCCTAGACTAGACCAGACCAGACCAGACTGAAGGACAGGGAGGGACTGAGTTCAAGTTGGGGTGGAGCCGGGCGTTTGAGCACATCGCACTGAAAGGGGCTGAGTCTCCTCTCCACTGTGCACTGTGACAGGAGGATGTCCGAGACTGTGATGTCAGCCTCAGACGACTCAGCGGTGACAGTGACGAGCACTGGCTGCCCGGGAAGAGTACCGAGCTTCGGTTGCCAGCACCCACTCAAGGCGTGCGATGTCCTGAAAGTCCAGTTCCACGGCCCTCACCGTCCTTGGGGAAGCGGATCCAGGTGGATGTGGCCGGGTCGTCCCGCACGTAGACGGTGAACCGGGTGATGTTGCACAAGGACAGCGTGTAGAACGTGCACGTCTGCTGAGAAGCCTGCGGAAACTCCGAGAATTAGGACCTGGGTGTGGGGACCTGCGTGGGCCACGGATACCAGGCCTGCCAATCAAACACTCCATGTGCTGGGGACTCCGTGCTCTGTGTGTGCACACGGCATGACTGGACTCACCACCAAACAAACACGGACCCTGAGTGCTGGGAACTAGGTGCTCTGTGTCTGCACACGGCCCTCCCCGACCCGGCTCACCACCACCGGATTCTGTGCATCCTTCTGACACAGGACTGGCGAACCAGTGGGGCCGTGTGCATCCATCTCCCAGCTCAGCCTACGCTCGTTGGGCTCCAGTCGCAGGTTCCTGAAAGGGCCGGGCGCACCTGGAAGGGGGACCACCGCGGGGTAGTCTCCGGACACGGCCCGCCTGGGAGCACCTAGCCAAACAGACCGCAGCACTGCGAGGGAGGGAGAGTGACAGCCCAGACTCCACTAGGGAGGGGCTGGGGGCGGGGCCTAGCGGGAGACTGACAGCTCAGGATGTACGAAAGAGGGGCTGGGGGCGGGGCCTAGAGGGGGACTGACAGCCCAGACTCCACTAGGGAGGGGCTGGGGGCGGGGCCTAGCGGGAGACTGACAGGTCAGGATGTACTAAAGAGGGGTGGGGGCGGGGCCTAGCGGGAGATTGACAGCCTGGACTCCCCAGGACCGGTTTGTCCCTGAGACCCTCCGCCCTTCTCAGAGGCAGTGCAGCTTCTGGCCACACACCATTTCCATCCGGAACCTACCCGGGTCAGGGTCAGGGGTCAGCAAAACAGACCCCGGCGTCAGCAGGACGAGGAGCCACAGGGGGGCCATGGTGGGCGCAGTCTGAGCTGGAGGAGACAACCCGGAGGGTGAATGTGCGTTTGTGTGTGTGTGTGTGTGTGTGTGTGTGTGTGTGTAATATCACGGGAGTTGGGCCGGTGCCCGTGACGTGTTCTTCAGCATCCGTTTCCCCCCTCCGCCCCTCCGTGCCTGGTGGATCCGTCCAGGTGAGGCCCTGTCTCTGAGCCTTGTTCCTTTTCAGGGCTGAGTAGTATTCCCCTGCGGCGTGATGACCTCACAGCTGTGTCTGTCCCTCTCTCGACTGGGGGAGCGGGACACGGACCTGGACGAGGTCTCCATCTGGATTTGGAGCCTGTTGCCATGGCAACGCGCCCTGTTGACATCCCCCCACCCCCGGCCACCGTGGGTGTCAGTTCGTGATCTCTGGTTGAGTCCCCCAGGAACTCTTACCTTGAGCTCCGTGCCCCCTCCGCTTGGACTCCAGAGTCGGATCCTCCGGGAGAACTCAGCTCCCAGCACCCAGCGCCTTCTCTCTCTCTCTGAATAGAAACCGCCGCAGGGAGCCCCGGGGCGGGGAACAGCAGCGAGTGTCCCGCGGGGTGCTGGTCCGAGTACCCCCTGTGAGCTCTGAGGCGGTGCAGCGCTCTTCCCGGAACCCCGCGCGTCCTTTCCTCCGGGTCTTTCCTGGTGTGGAGTCCTCTTTGTTCTGATTCTAATTATCGCTCGGCGGACCGCGGTTGAGCAACTTCCGGCCATAGAAACGCAGCTGCGTCCTCAGCTCGGCCTCCGGGGGTCGGGGTCTCCCCCCCCGCCCCGCCTGTGCACCCCAAGGCCGCCCGGGAAACTAAGCACGCAGGGTACTCGCGCTACGGGGTTGAGGGCACCCCACGCTCGGCCCCCTTCTCCTCCCACAGATCCTGCATCGGCTGCTTCTACTGTGCAAGTCCATCCCAGGGTCCCCAAGATGGATGATGCCTGCAGCACGCAGTCTGTGCTAAGTGCTCTGCCTGCAGCATGGGGTGGTGTGCTAAGTGCCATGTCTGCACACTGGGGTGCTGTGTTAAGTGCCATATCTGCACACTGGGGTGCTGTGTTAAGTGCCATATCTGCAGCATGGGTGCTGTGCTAAGTGCCATGTCTGCAGCAGTGGTGCTGTACTAAGTGCCATTTCTGTATCTGGGTGCTCGAAGACACTTGGGTGTGGTGCTTCCAGGAAGCACAGGAAGTGTGGACGACCTCGGATGCAATGTCCTGATTATCTCCATTGCCCACAGGTTGTGCAACTGAGTCCCCTCAGCAGCACTCGAGCAACCGAGTTCTCCAAGTGGCAGTACTCCTTCCCAGCACCGCTGAACAAGGAGTGGGCCTTCAGGCGGTTGTGAGCCACCATGTAGGTACTGGAACCCGAAGCTCAGGGAGCAGCCAGTACTTGATGCTGAGTTGTTGCCTGCTGCACACGGCCCCCCATCTCCAACCTGTGTGATGTCACGTGAACTCAGCTCAGCCTGCAGCCAGCACCTCACACCCCCCCCCTTTGCACACGGAGTGGGACGGGAGGATGACCGACAGCTGTCGAGGACTTTCATTTATTTCTTACTCCCATAATGCATCAGGGCAGCACCGGGGACGACTCGGTTCTCTCCTCAACCCAGGCGGGTCCCACCCAGGATTGAACTTGGATCTTGAGACTTAGTAACAAGCACTTTTCCCCACTCAGCCCTCCCCTCAGTTGAAATCATGTTGTTGCTAGACATCCCTGACGTCATGTCCGTGGCACACACACCCCCAGCTCACACCCAGGTGCTGGGCTGCCCGGTGCACGCTGGGCTGGCGCCACCCCCCCCAGGCCTGGAAATCACTGTGCTTCTTCCACCCGGAGGAATTCTTCAGGCTCCAGCAGACTTTCTGGAAGATTTGCTTCCACCCACGTGACCTGAGGAGGGGGAGAAGTACACTGCGGATATGGCCGAAAGGGGACCGAGCAAACCTGAACAAGCACCCCAGCTGAGTAGCAGAAACCACCCAAGGCTCTATCAGTGCATGAACAGATGGAGCACCCATGGTAGAGCCATTCAGTGGAATATTACTTAGTCATGAAAAAGGAAGGAAACCAAACAAACACCACAGCTGAGTGGCAGAGATGAATCAAGTCTCTTTCAGTGCATGAATGGGTGAGCACCTGTGGTAGATCTAGTCACTGGAATATTACTCCGCCACGAAAAAGGACCCCGGTGTCACTCACCTCGGCACCAGGACAGAAGCCCTCGGCCAGCTCCACTTTCACCTTGGGGATGGACGGGCATAGCCTCTGCCTCAGGGAGGACCTGGGGGAGGACAGGGTGTCAAGGACGCAGGGTGCCCTGCTAATCAACCCTGCACGATCTATCCTGTTCCTGCATCGAACCCTCCCGGGACCCGAACCCGGATCTGGGGCCTCAGGGTGGAGATGGATGCTGATGTCACCCCGCCCACAGCAGCTGCACAGAGATGGCAGAGGAAGTGGGAACCCGCGGTGAGGTGGGTGGTGCCAGTGGACCTGGAGGAGGGGGTCCCCAATGGTCGACAGCGCAGGCCTTGCCAGGCCACACCACAGCCCTCCCCATAGCCCACCCTGCACCAAGCACCCAGGCTGTCGGGGCGGCTGCCGTCATCCAGGGGAAGAGAAACGCCAAGTGCCCTGAGTCAGAACAGTGAGGACCAGGAGTTTGTGGGCAACCTCACCCACCAGCCCAGCCCAGTCCAAACCAGACCAGACCAGTCCAGACCAGCCCAGATCAGTCCAGACCAG